AATGGCTGCCCAGCCCCTACACCTGGTGATCAGGCTGTTTCACATACTCTACAATGTTTTTGCCCACATTTCTCGTGGTCTAAATAAGTGGTTCTCAACATTTTTACATTTGTGGTACCCCTCATTAGATGTGAGGCACCCCTCAGACTCAAGGCACCTCTTGGAAAAAGCCAACTCTTAGTTTTCACTCGTTTTTGACTATGGAAAGATAATAGAACAGTATTTCTGTTGCAAAGAACACAAAACACCACAACAGGTCAGAATATTTTTAACAATATGGATTCATATTTGAAAGCTCTGGTTTTGTCTTGTGAATCGTATTTTTACACCTAACAGTGCTAACATTGCATAGCACCCCAGGGCACCCTTGAAAGGATCTCCAGGAACTCCAGGGTGCTATAACACCCTAACTGAGAATCACTGGTGTAAACTGCTCAACCCAGTAAGTAAAAGTAACAAATCTTATGCCATTGCTCAATACAAGTGGTTCTCTTAAACTATAATACAGCAACATTAACTATATGCAGTTCCATGGCTGAAGCTGGTACACCAGTTGAGAACAGAAAATGAGAACAAGGGCTCACTTCTGTCCTTCTGGGCTAGGGACAGAAATTACACATAAAACAGCATACATGATCAGAAACCAGTTCCAAACTGTAACACAACCTAAGTTCAGTGCATATAAATCACTTCCAAAATGGCTGAAAATGGCTTAAGATAAACCTGGATGAATGTAGTATCACACTTAACTGATTGAGGTTAATCTGATTTATTGAACTTCTGTCCCTGATCCCCTCCAGATTTAAGTTAACCCAGTCCCCCAGCATCCCAGGATGCTTTGTATCTCCCCTGCAAATCCCTCCTCCCCCTTGCAAGGCGGGTGGGCTAGGCTTGGTCCCTGCTGTCTGCTCTAGCTGAGCAGGGAGGTATGCTCTAGTGCCCCCCAGCTTCAGGCCTGAGCCACTGTAAGCATGTAGCTGCATTTCTGGCTTTTTGACGATCTGTACTCAGCTCTGTTGTTCCTGCTCCAGCTACTTGTTGCACCTAATGTAAATTCTACTCCATATTCTGTATGGAAGAGGAGGTCCCTTCTCTTCCCAAAAGGAAGGATATGCACTGCGAGTGAGAGAAGCTTCTGCTTATACAGACTGCCAGTTTTCTTAGCATACAACACAGAGGCACCTGTTGGTCTGTCACTGTTGGCAGGGTGCCCAGGCATCTCTTGCACAGTCCATTGGCCCTAGCCCCAGTACCATGTGGTTCATGGTCAGATGCACAGCAAGTAGCATCTCTGAGGTGCTGCAGCACAAAATGTAGAGGATCTTCTCAATTAAATTTCCTCAGAAGTCGTTGCACAAAAAAGAGGTGTAAATTGTTCCCAGTAGGCTTGCTAGTCCCAACACCCAGATAGAGTGATTGAAAGCCTGATGGGGTGAAATCTGTTTCACTTCCACTTCAGAGCCATGTGTGTGCAATAATGTGTTGGTCCCTCTGTGTGCACAGCTGACTTGGACAGTTGGAGGAATAGCCTCTTACTCTAGACCCCCTTGATACTTTTGTTACAGGAAACTGGTCTTACTGCTTACTGAAGAGACTTTCAGAGGAAGTTAGCGGCCTATGTGCCCTCTCAGCCGTCGATAGTGCCCCCTGCAGGCTCCAGTATTGTATAATTGAGTTCTTTGCAGACATGGTTAAAGCAAGGGAATGCAGATATAACACTCCCATCCCTGTGACTTGGAGCAATGCTGAAAGTTAAATAATTCTGTCTGTGGATTTCTTTGGTTTTTGTTTTCAATGGTGAGAGGTGTTGTTTGAGGAGATTTTGAGGGGGGCATAGTTTTTGTCTCTAAAAGCATATTAACCTCTTATGGTATGTAATTTTTTCAGTATTATTATTCTGTTAATGAAAATATGAGCTAATACCAACGTTATGGTTCTTCTTTTGGCATGATAAATTGTGACCTGACTGAAGTGCAAAGACACTCCCTAAGGCAGGGTTTCTCAACTGGTGGGAAGCATCCCACTGGTTGGATGTGAAGGTCCTCTAGGTGGGACTTGGGTCGTGGCAATGAAACTGGAAGTGCCACGGTGGGACTGCCAGTTTCACTTTCACATGTTTTGATCAGCCTCTGGGGGACCTCCACCTCCCCTCCTCTCTTCAACTGGTCTCTGGGGGGATTTCCCCCCCCAGCTGGTCAACCAGTGGGACCAGGATTTTTTGGATTTACATAGGTGGGATGTAAGGTGCAAAAGGTTGAGAACTGGTGCCCTAAGGTGCCTTGAGCAGCACCGTTATTTAACAGGTTCTTGGTTTTCCATCATGCACTTCAGTAAATTATAGAAACACCAGTGAGGATAGGGAATCAATGCCGAATTATTTTTAGAATATTGACAAAATCAACGTTAAATGCTAACCGTGACTATTTACAGTCTGCTCTGACTGTGGATACTTAGGGAGTCCTTACTGTGTAGATCATTAACATGATGGGCTTCAGTAAATCATTCATAGCTATTATGGTCCAACCTGTCAATATCCTCCATCCTAAGGGAGCGCTAGTATTTAACCTGCAGACCTGCCTAGGCTCATTAACTAAGTGTAATGCAACAACACCTATGACATTTTTTAAATCACAAGTAGATATTTAGAATGGGAGGGAAAGATCATTTGAATAAAAATGCTGATACTAAGGCTGAGCTGTTTTTAATGTATTTAGTAATCAAGTAAGTACTGGTATAGGAGGAGGTTTTGCCAAAATAGCACAATAAAATGAGCAATAAAAGTTACAGCTAATAAAATTAATGTTGTAGAATTATAGTTTTTGCTAAACGTATACAGTATTATCCATTCTACCGGTTTACACAAAATTAAAACACACATGGTGTATGATAATACAAAAGATATGGTAAAATGAAGAAGTCAACAGTAAAACAAAACAGGAGAATTTTATTTGATTTTGGCCCTTATTCTTTGTGCAAGTACAGGTAAATACTAAAATACAGTCCAAAAACATACTGAAATTCACAATTTTTATTTGCTTATTGGGTCATTGCAAAATTCTATCACATTGCATTGTACCAATACCATGATGGGTTATCAACAGGGTTGAAAAGAGCCTTTGCACAGACCACTCTCACCTGAGCCAGTAAATGAGGCTACAGACAAATGGACCTTCTAACTTTGTTAAAAGGGGAGGGAGAGCTAACATTCCCATGTGTATCAACTGCTATGATGTAACTGTTACATTTGCCTGCCTCTGCCATGGTACAGGACAGATAAATTGTTGAATGAAAACGTGTTAAAGTTGCAATGGTTTTGCTATATTGGGATGGTACAGAAACATGCAGATGTGACAGTTACATTGTAGCAGCTTATATCTTTATACTTTGATATCAGTGCAGTTATTACATCTATTTATGCCCTAAACACTGGCAGTTTTTCTCTAGATCAATGAGAGCCACCTTTCTGGCATACATACCACAAATGAGTCCCATACCCTCCTCACGTGTCACTTTGATTCCATTCCCCTGCCCAATCTGCTGCTCTGCTTTCTTCCCCCTCCAAGACTTCCACCCTCCAAGACTTCCATGTGCCAGACAGGCTGACTGTGTACCACTTGTAGCAGACATGCTGCAAGCTGACCACCCCTGCTCTAGATAATGGATCAGCCTCTAGAGGGGCTAAGCAGGCAGAAAAATCAAATAACCTTCATCTGCACTAATCACAAAACTTAGGTCAGGGAAGGAAAGATTACATCCTTTGTTTGCTGCATGTACTTCCAAGGCATATCCTGACAAGCATGCACATGCAGGAGCATGCGTTTCCCACAAGACAGATAGCAGTGGCACATATTTGCACCACTGCTGTTTGTCCCCAGGTGCACCCCTGCACACGTGCTGTGGCACATAGCAAATTGCCCTGGGTGGGGTAGGGGAGGCTGGAGCCAGCACCTGTATTGGCGCCAGCAGCCTTACTTGGGGTCCCGGGGGCCTCCTGGGGCAGTAGTGGTGGCGATCTGGCCATTTGGAGCCTGGCCAACAGCCAGAGCATGGCTCTGGCTGGCCAGGCTCTCTTTCTGAAGGTGTGCACTGCTGCTGCATGCGCCATGCCACCTTTTGTGGTGATTTTTTTAACCAAAAAAAACTTCCATGCTGCAAATTAGTAGTGTGGCGAACGGCTGCATGTGCAGCATGTACAGTTTGCAGCACCTCAAACGGGTTTCAGGCACCACAAGCTGCACACACATGCTTGTTGGGGTGGACCCCCGGCATTTAAATGATATATGAGTAGTGTGCTAACATTTAAAAGAAAAGTAAAAAAAAGTGGTATGTAAGATGGATCTGCCTCTAAAAACTATTTAAAATATTAGTAATTTTATCTTAAGGTAATTTAAAATCATCTCAGCAAAATGAAATATCTGCCTCTATTAAATATGAAACAACTGTAAATGACTGGAAACAATTATTACATAAAGAAAAATTCTTAAATTTCAGAAAAGTTATTTGAAAGGATTTTTTTTCTTTATTTGTCGAATAGACACTAGGACAAACAATATCACAATGTAAATTCAACCCACTAAAGCTGTTAGCTGAGGCTTGAAATGAAAAGTCTCTTAAATTCAAAATCTATACACTTTTTTCTAGTTTTGTATCCTGTTCTCTTCACCAAATGCTGTTGAATGGAAGCCTGATCCCTTTTCATGGATAAGGGTTTTCTACTTTTTTTTAAAGAACTTGTTTCTATGAAACATAAAGCCCTTGAAGCACCTCTGTAACACTCGTCAGAAATGTCATTAATCACTGAACTGTCCATCATTTTATCCCAAACATAAAGATGTTGTATTTAGAAAAAAATACAAAATTACCTTAACATACATCAATCTTTTGGAAGCAGAAGCGTGATTGTGGTACTCGCTTATTCTGTGTTTCTGTTTAATTACATTTCATCTTCTCCCATAGACTTGTGCCAAGCAACAGTTAAAAACACTGTTACTCTTTTTAAGGTCCAGTGCTACCCGTTTCCGTTGGAGCCAGTGCTACTATACAGCCCAAGATGAGTGGGCTTTAGACAACATCTACATAGGTCAGCAGTGTCCCAATATGTGCAGTGGGCATGGCTGGTGTGACCATGGCATATGCAGGTACAGCATTCATTTCAATTTCCCTCGGAAATAGTTACTCTGGTGATAAGGTTTTATTTAATAAGTGAATAGTGACAGTATAATGTAGAACAAGAAGGTATCTTTGCTTCTGTTTTGAATCAAAATAAATACATTAAATAGTATGCGAGTTAGAATTCACGGCCAGATTAACAGCCTATTGTTCCAGTCCATGGAAACAATGAAATAAAGTATGCGCTAGATCTCTGCTATGAAGAATCTCCCATGAAGCCTCTGGAACTGCAGCCACTCCATCCTTACCTGCCTGCCCTTTCCTTAGAGGTATAGCCAGGGAGCTAAGTTATCCAGCCAGTCCCATAGGGTGCCTGTAGATGTGCAGGGTCGCTGCTCCAACACGCTGTAATTACAGCGTGTTGGAGCAGACTTGATTAATCAAGTCTGCTGGAGCGTGCTAATCAGTGTTCTCTAGCAGTCTCCACGTCTCCTGTATTCAGCATCCCATGCTTCAAAATGGTAGTGGGGGGCCTTTAACTAAAGCTCGTCGAATGAGGTTTAGTTAAAGCAGCCCTGCCACCATTTTGAAGCATGAGAATACATGAGAAGTTGTGGGCACTAATTAAAGCACCACCCCCACATTCCCCGAGCGCATATAAAGATGCCCACAATGTCAGAATGAACTCCAGGGTGGGAGCTATTTAGAAGCTAGTATCAGACTGAGTTTCCTTAATGTTTGTGTCTCTCACCTCAGGGATTTAGCCAGGGGTCATTTAGACACAACAGTGATTGACATATTTTTAAATTAATCAAGGAAAGTAATAGAAACAGTGATTTTTTTTTTTTAAGTAATAGGTAGCCTGTATAGAAAAAAAAACTCCAGAGCCAACTCATTTTATCACATTGAAAATGTTAGAAAATTGTACAGTTTTAAAAAAAATAAATCATGACCACTATGGGACTTCAGTATTATTACTGTGTTCCATACCATGACCAGAATTTTCTGACTATGACAGGGATAAAACTAAGATCCATCTGTGCCAAAGGCAAAAGGCACTGTTATTT